AATGGAGTGAGGAAAGCATTTAAACGGAGGTAATTAAGTATGGTTTAGTGTGTGTGTGCGTGCTCTTTCTCAAAAAAAAAAAAAAGGAGAGAGAGAGAGAGAGAGAGTATTATTGTAAACATTGGCATTTCAACCTATGTATCATATACATTTTAAAATATTTGTGGTGTATTCGTAATTAATTTTATTAAGGTTTGGTTTCAATTTTTTTTAACAGATCGCTTGAAGAATTTTTAGCTTAGGTTTATTCTTTCCATGAAAAGGTATAGAGGTATTCTGAACGAGGATCTTTCTACATTGCAAACATGGACAAGCAGGTTGTAAATGTTAGACTTATTATTCAAATGGAAAATTAGACACTGAGACAACGTTGTAGTGTGTCCAACATAAATTTTTTTACTGTTGGAGATTCAATCTTCCAAAGGACATTTAAATTTATAAACAATGCTGGTTTTCTGCAACACGTCAGTGGGCGGGAAAGAGCCATTACAAATTAGTATTAGAAATTATATTAGATATAGTAGATTTAGTTTAATATGTAATTGATTTTTTTATTTTTTATATTTTTTTTACTAGGATCTGTGGAGGTTTTATTTTTTTTTTAGGATATTTTCATCTTGTTTATAATTAGAATGCATTTGGTTACGATATGAATGATTGATAGGTTTATGATTAGTTGACGTATTATATTTGTTTAGTATAGAGATCTCTGATGAAGCATATTTGTTACGTTTTTTGATAATGACTATTTTATAGTAATTTGGATATTCACCCTTACAATTAAGAGTACAGGAATTTATGCTGGTAGCTTCTTTTTTTTTTTACACATGGGGGAGATAGTGAACTTATACTGACAAATACTATATCAATATCCAGAAAAGGAATTTTGTTGCTATTAAGTTCATATGTAAACTTAAGGATAGAATTGTTCTGAATTGTTTTGGGAGTTTATTATGTATTTCTTTCACATTCTTGAGTAATATAAGGATATCATGGCCATCTCATAGGCAGATGGAGGGATTTTAAAATTGTTATTTTCAAGATGAGACCTATAGAAATTGCTAAAAGTCAGACCAAGAACTGAACCGATGGAGACACCATCACATTGTATTTATTTTTGAGATCATAGAATGGGACTTTGGTAATGCAAGTTAGCAGTAGTTTTCATAATACACTAGGCCTAATTTTAAGAAGAGGTGAATTATTGTATACGCATCTTATGATATCAATCGCTTCACAAACAGGGACATTAGTGAATAATTTTTCAACATCAAGTGAGGCTATTCATTGTTAGGTTTTTGAATTACCTCAAGAGTTGATTTTTATGCTGTATTTGTTAGAGAAAAAAAAAAAAAAAAAAAATAATAATATATATATATATATATATATATATATATATATATATATATATATATATAAGCAGTTAAAACAATCCTTGAAAATGGCTAAATGTATAGCTGAAAGCGCTCAGATGAAAAGAACATTCAGGCAGTTTTTATATAATTTATCATCCGGAAAGAAGAATTATTAGATCACACGAGAAATATAAAAAAAACTAAATAAAAGCACCTTGTCAGTAGTTTTTAATGAAATGTGCATGAAAGAAGTATTGCTGCCTAAATACACAAAAAAAAAAAAAAATATATATATATATATATATATATATATATATATATATGTGCCACTAGCACACAAGGAGTTACAGAGAGGGAGAGAAAGAAAAAAAGAGGCATGCTTGAGGAAAGGATAAAGAGAAGGATGGGGAACTAGATCAAGGTATCAGATGATGTCAATTGACATTACATATGATTATTTGAAGCATGTAAGAGGAAGGGAGTTCCACAGATGGGAAGTGTGAGACATGAAGCTGTTGGAGTAGAAGAGATAGCTACATTTAATCATTTTGACAGTGAAAGGGTGGACCCGAGATGCCAAGTAGCACACTTAAATTTATGCAGTTTGGGAAGCAGTGAAAGTAGCTGGTCAGAGCAGCCGACATGAAAATACCTGTAGAAGAGTGAGAGAAGCAACGGTACATATGTGACAAAGTGACTGTAAACGAGGTGTGTGTACGCACACGCCTCTTACTAGGACTTGTATTTTTGGCAATGTTTAACCATATATAGCCACATATAAATGGGGGGTTTGAAAAATATTTCTCCTGACATCCATTGTCAATGTCTCTTAAAATGACATCAACACAAGTACATATCTATCAAACTACTTTAGTGAATTAATATGAATATCAAATGAGAAAATGCCCAGGAAATACATTTATTATTTATAAAAGTTACTCCAATTTGTAGATTTATTTAAATTCTTGTTCAGACATTCTCAGAAATTTATGAATTAAAATTTGTTTGTTCTCATCTCTATGATAACATAATAAACATTGCATTCTAACAGGTTATTATAATTTTAAAAATAGCTTTTTGAAAACAATACTTGCCAAGAGAGAAATAGCGACATCAAGAGAAAAACTGTCCTTTCAATAGGAATTTTGAACTTTGACAAATCTTATCTAAAACCTTGTTACATTAAAAAGATTGGTTTCTGCTGTTAATTCAAGAATTAAAAAAAAAAAAAAGCAACAAATACATCAAAAGCATTATTTCAACTTCCTTTATTTTTCCTTTTTCAAATTTTTTTTTTTCAGGTTTTTGATTTCACAGCATTATTATATACAGCATGTAGGGGGGCCAGTGGGAGTGTTGTTTATATAGAGGATTATAACAGTCGTCTCACAGCTGCAGTGGATTTGGTTAAACTGGTGGCCTCAGTAGTAAATCCCCCTGGCACTTTTGGGTCAAGTTTTTGTTTTTCTTTTTAAGCTTGTCAGCTTTACAATGTTTTACAAGGTACAAATATTTACAGGAGACAAAAATCAAATGAAAAATTTCAAATGAATAGCCAAGGATGGGGTGGGAGGGAGAAAGGCTCCAAGATTAGGGAGAAGGGAGGAGAAAAAGAAAGAAAGGATGAACAGTGAGTTACTGGGGGGGGGGGGTAGAATCGCAATCAGAAAGTCTGCTTACAATACATAGAGAAACAAATAAAGTGAGATGGGAATATAAACAAAAAACTGTTGGCAAAAATTTGCCAAAGTTATAGGAATTTCTAAAGAGAATAACAGAAGAAAAAAAAAAAAAAAAAATTATCATTTGGTACATAAAGGCCTTATACACAGCAGTAGCTTTGGCCAAAAGAACCAATCCTGGTACAAGAAGAGATCAAATTTTGTTAGGAGCATTTGAAGAAGAGACAAAAAAAAAAAAAAAAAAATAAAATAATCAGAGGGAAATTGGGATTTGATGGTGGGTAGTGAGAACCAAATTTGAAACCATGTGAGCCTTCAAGTGAACGACTGCTACTAAACAGCTACACATGCTTTGGAGGCAGGTTTCAGTTATCACAAATAAAGTCCCTCCTCCAATAAATAAAAGAATTTCAGTGAGAGAGAAGAAAAAAAAAAAGAAAAAAATAATTATGAAAACCCCAAGTCTTAGCAAATGCTGATTAGAAGACCAGAGGATTTAAAAAAAAAAAAAAAAAAAAAAGTCAACTAAAGAGATACAGTAACAACACTGATTATTACAAAGATAGCAAGGATGAGTAAAATTAGTATGTATCTATACACACTAGTGTGTGTGTGTGTGTGTGTGTGTGCATGTGTGTGTAAGTGTATATATACGTGGATATAAATACATAATATATACACATTTATACAGAGTACAGAGGCAAAACTCAGCTTCAGAATGTTAACTCCTTTAGAGTGGGGGTGGGGATGGGCAAGACAGGGAGTAGACTAACAAATTGAACATAATGTTTTTTTTTTTTCTCCTTAAGGAAACTATAATACCACACTAAAAGGCCTACAAATTAAACTAAGGAGAAAAAAAAAAAAAAAAAAAAAAAAAAAATTATTTTCCTTCCTTTTTTTATTTTAGGGAAGAAAGTTTTCTATTGTAGCAAAAAAGAAAAAGAAAAAAAGAAAAAGAAAAAAATGAACGTGTCGAAACTTTATATTCTGGAAAAATTAGTTTTAAAATTCCGCCTTCTGTCCAAATATGTGCTTAGAATAGGATTATCTGTTTACCAAATGCTCCCAATTCCAGAAGCTAATAAAGCAAGAGGAGAGAATAATTATATTTAGTGAAAACCAAGTTCTAAAAAGTTCTGTTTGTATGTTACATGGGGGGGTCAGGGGGCGATTGTTAGATGCAGAGACAAGCAAAGAGATTAAAGAAGGTTCAAGCCAAAACCTGGAGGGCAGACAGAAAGAGAAAAAAAAAAAAAAAAAAAAAAAAAGACAAATGACAACAATTTCATTGGCACCAGAGAAAAACCTAAGATTCAACTTTTAATGGCTTTAGCATACAATTTCAGGCTCTGTAGACTGGTAATTCCAGCCTAGTGAATGAAATAACTTTTCAAAAAAGGCAAGAAAAATTAATTTCTAAAGTTATCTTTTGCAAGAAGTTTGTTATTAATTTTGAGTAAGGAAAAAAAAAAAAAAAAAAAAAATCAAATGAGGTATATCCAAAATAAACCATTAAAAGAATTAAGGAAAAAAAAAAAAAAAATGAAAACATAACGAAAAACTATCAGTACAGATGCCTGCAACTCGTACTGTTAAAAAAAGGAAAAAAAACCCCAAAAACCCAAAAAACTAACACTTGAAAGAGGGGGGGGAGTTTCCAAACTGATAATTTTTGTGAAAGAGAAGAAATTGGGAAGGTGGATGAGTCAAAGAAACAAAAAACATTTTTTGGAACATTGCCTCAGTTCCTTGTCAGCCTCCTTTTGCCAATGTCCTGTGGGTAGGGAAAAAAAAATTAGTTCTTGTAAACTTGTCAGTTCTTTAATGCCAAGGTGCAATCACTCAAGTTATGGTCAGTCTCCTCCCTTATAGACAGCAGCTTGAGCCAAAAAAAAAAAAAAAAAAAAAAAAAAAAATAGAGAAGGAGGTTAGGTCAGGTTAGTGGTTCAAGATGAAAAGTTTAATTAGACACTGCTTGTTGGCAGCGTTCAAGTTCATCCACTGTGACAACTTTCTGTCCCTGGGGTGGCAATGGCATGTTGGGAAGCTGGTTTCGAAGAACTTCACTGTCAAACCACTTTAGCACATCCGCACCACCAGTGTTGGACAGACCCAATGATTGAAGACTTGTTTTCTGGCCATTGTTACCAGGAACAGTCACTGAGGGAGAAAAGTAAATTTGAAATTTAAAAAACATAAAAAAAATTCAATTCAAACATCGAATATACATATGCTGTGTTAGTTTTTTTTTTTTTTTTTCATATTTATCACAGGAAAATTTCACTTTTAGTAGGCAAGCATTTAAGTTTATAAAAGGAAACCTCTCTCAATTTAAAAATAATTCAGCAGACTCATTTTATTTACAGTAACTGGATTTTTGGCAATTACCTTACTCAAGTTCAATCATTAAATCTGCAAAAAAATGTCACTTTTGCCACAGTCACTAGTGACTTTCAGCCAATGATCAAAGTGTAATAACTGTTCTTGGCTTAATCCAATTATTCTCCAAACTTCTATCTTTCATTTTCTCACTGAAACTAAGTGTCTTCAACCCCACCAGTTTTTTCTTTCCAAGTGATTAAAACAAAATAGTCCATTATTCACGAGATATTGGCAGGGCATAATACCCATGTGAACTAACGTAGGGAGGGACAATCACAATTATAAAGTGTCCCTACCCCACAAAAATGTATTCTTTAAATAATATATGCAGTATTGACTTACAAATAAGACTAATTATTAAAATTAAATGAAATATATATGTTTATAAATATTCAAACTGACACACTCAAAAATGGAGTACACATTTTTGGAGTGCGTGATCCAGTATTTACATCCAATTTAAACAACTTCAGACCTCAGTAATTTCAGAAATTCAAAATGGGATTTACCTTGTTTATGAAGAGAAGGGATTTGTGGTGAGACAGCTCGTCCCACTCCAACATTGACGACTCCTCCAGCTGCTGGATTCGAAGGTACTCCAATGGAAGAAGCTGCCGCTGCCGCCAATGAGGCTCTTGAACTTAACATTGGTGCTACCATACCAGGGTACACACCTCTCATACCACTAGGAAAACGAGATTCTAGTCCTGCAGAACGATGAGCATGCATTGCAGCCAATGGATTCACTGAAATTTATAAACAAGTAACTATCAAAACGAGAGAGAAGTGCAACAGACACAGGAGTATGCAAGAACGACAGACACTGACTACCAATCAGAAGTTACAATTTCAAAGTCAATCACACACACACAAATCTCAAGTATTTTCAAAGAAAATTCTTACTTCCTTGAAACATTAACTGCATCTGAATATTGGCAGGGTGCACTCCAATGTTGGGTGGGATGGCATTTGACTGCAGAGGAGGAGGCACTCGGCTGTTGACTGGAATGCCAAATGGAGATGAAGTGCTGTTCAGACTGAGGGAGCGGGCAATGCCAGCAGCGGCCGCTACATTCAGGAGTGGAGACACCTGCTGCTGTTGTTGCTGCTGCTGCTGGCGCTGCTGAAGCCGCTGATCCACAAACCTCTTTAAGTCTAAGTTGTTTGTGTTGCTGCTGCTGCTGTTGTTGTTGTTATTACCAACACCTCCACCACTCCCAACTGACCGATCTACTTTACCTGAAGGCAAAGACTGTAGGCCAGCAACTGGACAAAGAGGATTTGCAGACTTCATACTACCTGAAAAACAGAGTCACTAAACATCACCAAAACTGTTTATCGTCACCCAAACATTTTAAGTACTAAAATACAAATTATGCAAATTCAAACGACAAAGCATAATTTTCACCCCACCCACAAGAGAGAGAGAGAGAGAGAAAAAAAAACAAAAAAAACAAACACTTGCCTTTAACAATAGGCCGTCCAGCTAAAGTTGCAGTTAACTGTTGGGCTGCACTGGTAGCAGCAGTGGACGGTACATTTTGCTGCATATGCACCGAGAGATTCTGCATCATGCCTTGGCCCATTAGGGCTCTAACAGATTTGGACTGGTCACACGGGCTGCTTGAAGATGCTTGAGAAGGACTTGAATTCTACAATAGAAAAAAAATTTTTTTTATTTTTTATTTTTAAGTATTTCATAGCTAATTAAAACCAGAAAAAAAAAAAAAAAAAAAAAAAAAAAAGTTTTTGTTCAATTCTCAATTAAGGTTTTCACAAGGAGCAAAACAGTAATAGCATTCATAAGCGACATTTTGGTGACATAAGATGAATAGGAACCATATCAATATGAGCGTGATTGCACAGAGCTCTTTATACAGACCTGTTATAAAACAAATAAACATTGAAAACCAACAATCGCTAAACTTTTGCCTCTTGCACATTCCCATGAATACAAATGAATAATTAGGGGTTCCCTTGACAATATCAGTGACATTCTTCAAAGTAATTTTCTTTTGCATTTATTCATTTCCAATGGATGTCAACAGAGCTTCTAGGATAAAGTAGCATATATATATATATATATATAAATTTTAAGATATTAAAAACACGTTAAAAAAAAATCACTACAGTTTTGACATAAATATGTCTCTTCAGGCACTGTTAAACTACTGGTGAATGAAAGATTAATTCAATTTTAAAAAGCAGAATACATATTAAGGAAAAAAGGAGAAAAAAAAAAAAAAATGTAGGTTTTGCTGTGATTAACTAATCGAATGTGACCCATGCTAAATTTGAATTCACCAGAAATAATTTTTTTTAATATAAAAAAGGTCATGACATGAAGGTGCTTGCATATAAAACCTTGACAATTTCCTTACGGGAAACCAAAAGAGATGCTAGCCAGTTATATGCTAGTTCAGCTTCTTGCCTAAAATTTTGTAGTTGATAAATAAAAGACCCCTTTAAACAACTGTTAAAAAAAGAAAAAAAAAAAAAAACAAAAAAAAACTGAACTACTTTAGCAATATGCAAGCATCAAATAAAAGATCATCCATATAGGATACCAACTAATCAGGTGTAAGATTATTAACCAAGCACCTGTACACCCATACAAGTTAACGTTAATACTAACCAAACATCAATACAAAAGCATTATTAATTCAAAATGAATCATACAAATAGTAAGAATTTGTTCTCATTTTACCTATATATATATATATATATATATATATACACACACACACACACAAGTATAGGATTCATGTATACGGAATAAATTCCAATAACCAAAAGATACTATTCTTAAAAGAGTGCTCCATATAGAGTAGAGCAAATATAATTTATACGGTGATTTGAGTGCCAAATTATTAGAAAAGTGTAAGAATTTAGTGAAAAAATGAGCTGTAAAAGCAGTTTAAGTGATGCTGAAAAGAAAACTATCACCTCAGAACTCTCAAAAGGTAAATCTACCCTAGAAATTTCTAAAATGATAGGGAGGTGTCATCAAACAGTGAAAAAGTTCACTGCCGACACTACACAAGTACGCAAAAGGGCAGATAAAGGCAAGGCGAGGGTTATTTCACGTCGTCTCATGTCACGACTTAAACGAGAGGCCACGAATAACCCTGGACTTACCAGTCAAGAGCTTTTCAGTCGCATTGGGGATCATACTGTGTCTAAAAGTACTCGGTGTTGGTATCTGAGGGAAATAGCAACAACAGTCAAACCTGTATCGAAGCCTCTGTTGACAAGAAATCACATTCAAAATTGATTGAAATGGGCCGAGGACAATATGAAGATTGACTTCTCTAAAGTTTTGTTCACAGACAAAACTCGAGCAACACTTGATGGGCCAGATAGATGGTGCAAAGGCTGGGTAACGAACGGACAGAATCGCCATCAGCATTTGAGACGCCAACATGGCAGTGGAGGCATAATGATTTGGGGTGGTATTATTGGAAAAACATTAGTGGACCCATGGAGAGTACCAGATTGTGTCAAAATGACTGCTGATGCATACATAGCGTTTATGAAGGAGCATCTTGAACCGTGGATGAAAAGGTAAAGAGTTGCCTTCAGAAGGGCCATTGTTTTTATGCAAGATAATGCTCCCTCACATGCAGCTCACAAGACTACCGAATATTTGAAACAGTTAGGCTTCGATGGACCTCAAAATATGAAGTAGCCAGCAAATTCTCCGGATTTGAACCCAATCAACAACCTTTGGAGCATCATGAAGCGAGACTGTACGCCAACGGACGACAATTAAGGAGCAACACTGAGTCGTGGGAAGCAATTCTTGACATACCTCGCGGCATTACAGCAGATGACATCCTACAATTAACAAATTCTATGGATTGTCGACTTCAAGTAATTTCAAAATAGGGAAAGCACATTCCCTATTAATTTGTTTAAAACTGTGCCTTTGTTTGTATCTTATTTGTTAGCTTCTTTTGATCATAAACATTCACGTGCAACATTAATAAACGTTTCGTTTGCTCAATTCTGGGAATTTTACTAAACCTTTCTAATAATTTGGCACACTCAAATCACCATGCTGATAACAAATATGGCATCAGTTTGTTTACATTGCACAGATCAGTACGAAAATTTCAGTGATTGCGCAGGTCAGTGTTGCCAACATTGTGTGAAAATTGTGTGAATTGATTGGACGGTTTTTGAAATATTAGAAAAAAGTTATCTCGATAATAATTTGGCACGCAGTGTATATTATGAGATGATAAAAAAAAAAAAAAAAGTGTATCATCTCATAACCCTTTGAGAATTTTGAACAGAAACCTTTTATTCAATTTATGAGGGTCAAGCATTCTCAATCCACTGCACACTCTAGGTGGTTGATAGGAGAAAAGAAAGTTGAGGACAAATCAGCTATTTAATTTATCCTTAGCAACTTACTTTTCTCAAATAACTGATAAGAGATTTCTTTGAGCATAAACAATTTGAGTGACAGGCTTCATTCTAAACCAACTACAATAGCTAAGTTCTAACAGCCAAAGCATGATCAACAGCCAAAGCATGATCAACAGCCAAAGCATGATCAACAGCCAAAGCATGATCAACAGCCAAAGCATGATCAACAGCCAAAGCATGATCAACAGCCAAAGCATGATCAACAGCCAAAGCATGATCAACAGCCAAAGCATGATCAACAGCCAAAGCATGATCAACAGCCAAAGCATGATCAACAGCCAAAGCATGATCAACAGCCAAAGCACAAACATACTGATCAGTAAATCATTGTGTAGCAAGATGATTCTAAGTAGAATCATTTTACTACAAGTACCTTGATTATGCAAACCAGTTTTCTCTCGTTTTTAACTTCAAGACAGCAATCAACAAATCTGAACAATGAAGACCAGAGTAAGGAGTATTTTTTTTCTTCCAAGTGTCTTGCAAGACAACACCAACACTAACAACAACTCTGTGCTTACTTGTTCATGGTTGAGAAGCTGTGCTGCCAGTATTTCCCCGGCATTGCCTGATAATGATGTATCATGACTAGTGGACTTAGAAGACTTTGCAGATGAAGTTGGAGAGGAAGTTACCGAAGAACTGCTGGTGACATTGATGTTCATGCTCCCTGCAACAATGCTGGAATCCATCGGAAGGTTGGTATGGGACTGTTGCTGACCATGAGAGAGATTAACAATGCTCACTGCTGCTCCACCATCCTGATTCTTCAGAGAGGGGCCGTTCATTGACCCAGGACCATAGGAATCACTAAGCTCCTTATCGCCACTATCACATGAGCCATGCATTTGACTGCCATTAGATGTCAGCTCAGCACAGCTGTTGAGGTAGACATCTTTCAAAACATTGTCACCAAACATTTGACTCTTAACGAGAGACTTTTGAGCTGAATAACCTAAAAAAGAAAAATTAAAAATAAATCACACAAAGAAGGCAAAAAAAAAGAAAAAAAAAAAAAAAGAAAAAAAATGGTTTGACATTTCCTTGAATTTAAGGACAATATTTAGAGTTCATGATTACCGTGTATACTCTAGTATTGCTAGAGATTTTATGATCAGTTTTTATTTGCGCGCGTGCACACACAGACACACAAGGGGGCAGTCGCACTATACACAGGTAATTTTTTTTTTGATGACGTTAAAAATCAATCCTGCATTTTTCCTAGGCACCTGGTAGGCCTACATTCTCACTGTACCTTTGGCTAACCATAATAGTACAGGTAAGCTCCTTTAGCCTGCCTCCCATAGCCTAGGTATAAACAAAGACAAAAATACAGTATATAAATCTTTGTATCATATTTTATGGTAAGTGGTTTTTCTTACTATTTTGGGGTAGCTTTGTATAAAAAAGAAAATATATCCCAGATAATGCCAAGTACTGGGATATTTGACTACTGTAGGCCTACTAGCATTGCTTAGAAGCTGAGGGTGGCCTTACATGAACTATATGAAAAAACAGGTTTTTCAAAGAAGATTTCAGGGATCTCACTATCCATGAAACAAGCCTGTATACGAGTATTTTTACACTAAGAATATGAAGTTCTATTAAAAGCTATACCAACCTGCCTCCAATATGGGTAACATATTGGTATATCTTAATAAATAAAAGTCATTATTTGAGTTAAGCTTGTGCTATGTATTTAGAGATTGATAAAATTCAAAGAATCTTCAATATTACTGGTTCTGACATCTCTGCTTCAGTCACTTTTCAGTCATTATCTTCTGTGTAACAATACGATTTCTCACACATCATTAAGAGATAACTAGATAGATCGCTTTCCTTCGAGTCAATTCATCTCCAGTCCAGCTTTGAGTCAACTTAAGTGTCAGTGTTTTGGGGATTTGTGTCTCCAGCAGCCTTTGAATTGGGAAACAAAATCTTCTTAATGATTTTAGATAATCATAAAAGTAGAATCTTTTGAAGATGGCTTTCGGATGGTGTCTGGTCCCGGAACACAAAGTTGATGGATAGGGGTGATGGGGCCCCAGCCATCATCTATATGAGCAGAGAGGCAGGAAGTGATGGAAAAAGGGGTCCAGCAGTCAGGGAGGAAAAGACCAATGAAAGTTATGGAGATAGCTGGCTCTTCGGGTGAACTGCTAAGTGAGAATTTGTATTGTTGCTATTCGATTACAGCCAAGTGGACAAACTTGGGCATATAGCTAGTGTATATACAGACGACTTTGGATGTCATCAGGTTGCGCAATGACAGACAAGCAGAGCACATCATCACATCCATCATTTCATTTGTTTTATTATCTCTCCTTACTGATCACACTCGACCCATGCATTTGCCTTGCTTGGAAGGAAGTGATTTTTAAATAAATAAAAGGTGTAAGTTGTATAATGTGGCATCACGATTTGATACTGACTGGTCAAATGAAGGTGATGACATATGTAAACTAAACAATGGAAGGAAAGCAGCTGTTAAAAAAAAGACAAGACAGAAGAGAGCAAGACATTGGGGAAGTGCAATACATGGTAGCTTTCCATGCAATCAAAATGATCAGACTAGGTGTAAGGAAGAAAGAAACTAACCCTTTTACTAGAGACCACTTAAATTCCCAGTTTCAACACTCCATATACAGTTAAATCAGTATTTTCTCTTGAAAGGTGAGGCAATAGGCCATAGCATGGTCTCAGATAAAACTGATAAAAATTGCCTTCAAGGTTTTTTTTAAAAGCTTGAAAAAAAAAAAAAAAAAAAAAAAAAAAGTCCAGTGTAGATAAAAACTGGCCCATTGCATTGCAAAAGCATATACATACTGTTTGTATTGCATCCATCCTGTTTGGCCTGACGCTCTTTTTCCACAGCTTTTTCTGAGTGCATTTTGCGGATCACTGAGGTTGGGGTAAAAGATACAGATACTGAGGTCTACAATGCAAAGCAAAAACAGAACAGATTAAAATTAAGCCAATTAAGTTTATAAACTTTTCTAGTTATAAAATTTTACATTTAAAGTGTTTCTGAGGAGGGAACAGGGAAAGGATTTAATGAAAATTTAGAAAAGACTTAAGTCATAAGAGGAGGAGACAACTATGTTATGTTCAAAATCAGCAAATCATCTAATACTTACTTTGTTGCTATTAACATTCACAGGTGTAGGTATTCCTCTCTGGTTTAGAAAATGAACAGGTGATTTTGACCTAAAAACGCAATTTATAAATATAATTAAAAATTTTCCACCTCACCAAAACCATCAACATCTTTGAGAGTGGGGAGGGGACAAAGAAAAGAAATGGTCTATATTGAAGATGTAAATTTAATCTGCTAAGTTTCTTTGCTTATAAAAGTCATATGCGAATCTTAGACAAAAAATATACTAAAGTAACCACTTGATATATATATATATATATATATATATATATATATATATATATATGACTTATAAAAAAAGTAGAAAGCTAAAATTAACTATTTTTGGAGAAGTTTTACATAGAAAAATTTTAGATCATTTGCAAGTTATGAGAATACTTTATTTTTTTTTTTAAAAGATATACAAAATGTCACAACTGACCTATCCGCTTGCTGTTTTCTAAGAATACGTTCCTTCTGATCATCAAGTTCTTTCTTTTTCTTGATGGCGATTTGTGTTAAAACTTGAGACTGTACAGAAGCCATTTCCTGGGGGCTCGTCACTCTGTGCAGCAAACCTTGTGGACGTACGCTACCCACATTCTAAAGAGCGGGGGAAAAAAAATAGTAGCTAGTTTTAACTCTAATACTTGTAAATACTAATATCAAATTGGACACTTAATCCTCTAAATTTCAGAGTTATCTCCCCTGAAGCTCAAGGGTTTGGTTACCTCAATGCCGTAAAAAAAAAAAAAAAAAAAAAAGTTCAAGGTTATCAAATTACATTTATCTACTTAAGAAAAAGCCTACAAACAGACATTATGGTTTTTTTTGGTTTTTTTTCAAGCCTTAATGATTGAACAACTATTTTCATCAAGTCAAAATGTAATTTTTTTTTTTTTAAAAAAGAAGAGAAAAAAAATTCACTATGCCATGCTGAGAACTACTTACAGTTAGGTTTGTATTGACTGGTTGAGCAAGGCTACTCTGCACAAGTGGACTTGGGTGCACTGGTGCTGGAGCACTTAAATGAACAGGAGGTTGTTGGCTGAACACTAGAAACAAAAGACATGGAAACCTGACAAATATCAAGGAACAGCAGCTTTCATTAGAACATTTCAATACAAGATGCTAAGATTGAAAATTAAGTTGCTACACAGAAGAAGCAAATATATTTGTGATGCCAAATTTGAACAGGATACATTCAGGTAATAGAAAGGAAAAGAAATTCCCTTTCAAATTTATAAGTCTCACAAAGCACTTAATTTCAACAGACAAAAGGCATATATCTAAGATATTGATAAGTTTTTCTTCCTAACATTCTTAATCCTGAATAAACAGATTAAATTTAAGTAAAATAAAAAGATAAGCAAATTGGAGCAAACTTGTGCTTTCAGGAACATACCACATGGCATGTGACAAAACATTGCAACAAGGATGATTCCTGTTAGATTTTTATCATTTTCAATGGAACTGAGAACAATATTTCTTAGTAAAAAAAAAAAAAAAAAAAAAAAAAAATCAAAACAAATATGGTGTGTGTGCGTGTGTCTCCTTAATCAAAATTGCCAAAATTGTCTGGAATAAATTTCCATATTCAAAGCCTTGTTAAGAATGAACATTAATTGCAATAAAATAGCAGGTTAAAAAAAGGTTATCAGTATTTAACTGATAACTTCAATGTTCAATTGTTAAAACAATATTTATTACATTTTTTAAAAAAGGAAATTATCAACAACTGCCTAAATAGATTTGAGAGCAGATTATGCACTCATCACTACAGACATTTGAAAAAAAAAAAAAAAAGTTACCATTGTATTGATTGCAGAAAGTACTACAGAAAAAAACAAAATATGACAAAAGTTAGTTCATGACAAATGGCAGTCTTTATCAGCTTTTAAAGAAATATAAACATTTTCCAGATTGGTATATTAAACTAATGCCAACATTAATCCTTATTGATACTGATTTGCTTTCAATTATCTAATTTGGCACTCAAGACTGAACAACAAACCAAACAGCAAGACTCATAAGAATGATGACAATTGTACCTCAATAATAATTTCATATTTACTTAAAAAAAAAAAAAAAAAAAATGCATAATTTTTTTGCACTTCCAATTAAGTAAATCTTGTCAATTGTTTTTTGAATTACATGAAAAATGTAAATATAGTATTTAATTTCGAATAATGTAGCTGTTTATTTTTGCTTTTTAAAAAGAGATGACCATAACTGACGCATTGGACCAGAACAAAGCAAATCTAATGTTTAATGTGCCAAACAATTTGCATCCTAACTTCAAGGCTGGGCTTTATGGAACAATTCACATTCTGTTTTGTAGAAATGTAAAGTTACAATAAATCTAAAGTTTATGGAGATAGAATTGTCAGAAAAAAAAAAAAAAAAAAAAAAAAAAAAATGAAATTTGATCTTTCAAAAGATCTTTAATTGGTTAAAAACTTAAGTTAGTTAAGCAGTAACAATAAGTATTAACAAGTGAACTAATTTGTTAACATTTAGAACATGTTATGCAATATAGAGAAAGAAAAAGAAAATTACTGATTGGAGAAGGTATTCTTTGTTGGGATGTTGAGTGCATAGGACTCTGTTGGGCTGCCAGCAAATTCTGTTGCAAAAACTGTGTTGGTGGCCCTGAATGAAGAGGTGGCGCTCCTGGAGACTGGGTCCTTGATGCTGTCTGCTGTAAGACTGCAGCTAATTGTGGGCTGGGAGAGGCAGGCTTGGTGATGATGGCAGGGTTTTGTTTAATGAAATTCAAAATGGCATCTGATGATGCCTGCTGCCCAGATGGATACTGGGTGCAACTAATTGTAGCATTGCCTACTGTGGTCCCACTGCCACCCGTAGTAGGGGGAGGTGGTGGTGGTCCTGCCGAATGCTGCTGTGATTGACTAGCTTGTTGCTGCATTTGTTGTTGCATCTGTTGCATCCTGATCTGCTGCAACGTCTGTTGCTGGATTTGAAGTTGACGTTCCTTATTACGACTCAGGGCCTGCAATTAACAGTTCAGAGAAAAGCTTTACAAGAACTGAAAATAAACTCTGAACACCATTTCAAATGTGATTATGGATCAACATTCACTGTAAATATGACTGCAACTTCTGAAAATCCCAACATAGACAACAGGAAAACTACTCCATCTTTGCCAAGATGATATTACATAAAAAGTGACTAATTTTGAAGTTTTTAAAAATTATTCCATTAAAATAAGTTTGTTTTAGATGAATGCACCATTAAGATTTATAATACCAATAGAAAGGTAATATAAGGGCATGCTGAAAAGTTTTCAGCCCGACCAAGAAAGGAATGACGTTGAGTTATGTAATATGCTATCCCTTTCAATGCAAATCCCAGCTTATTTGGCACATCATTTAAGGATTTATTTTTTTTTTAAATGTAAGTAAATAATATATATATATATATATATATATATATATATATACTAGAAAATGCAGGAAACTGAACGATTTTGGCACCCACTTGATTGATAGTTTCTGCAGACTGAATTATAAACCCAAGTTCCCTGGACATCTCTATAAACCCAGTAAGTCTTTTAGAGATTAAGCAATCAACCAAATTTTGGTCAAGAACCTGATCAAACACATCCAGAATTTCATACTGTTGAAGGTAACTTATACTTGGAAGTATCTTGAATTCCAAACACTGGCACACACCACTTAACAGTTGAATTGGTGATGATGGTAGGGTTTTGTTTAATGAAATTCAAATGGCATCCGATGACTTGTTGCTGCATCATACATTCATAGATTTGTTTTGGAGTTTTCTACAAGAACATCATACACAAATTACATGGAAAGGATTCAATTAATAATCTGAAACAAGTTCAAAAATAAGTACAAGGACCCTTAAAATTGTCATCATTACAAGAATAAAGAAAAGATATTCCAGTGACAAATGGGAAGTGGCTTTAGTGCCATAGAGGATACACTCTTGGATGAATCATGTCTCTGAATACAGAACTGATTAGGCTGAAGATTTTCATACAGGAGGTTCCCATTTATTTCTACAATAAATGGATTGCTAGGATCCAGTCTGTCCTGCTATTTAACCCATAGCTGGAGTGAAGAAATGGATTCTTACCTTTCCCCATGTAAAGTGAACGTAACAAATCTGACGAATTCAAACTCGACTCTTCGATCTCTCATTCAAAGTCATTATCCATTTATACCACCTGCACATCCCTGTTTATACTACTTAGTAAGAAATAATGAATGTAGTTAGAAACAGAGAGAAAAAAAAAAAAAAAAAAAAAAACAACACTACGGAAGAGAGAAAATGTAAATACTTACATGTAGAAACTCATTCTGACCCGATATCAAATTATAAGGAATGGTTTGAGGTGGAGGAACACTGGTGGCTGGTGATCTATCCTGCATCTGGAATTAGAAGGGGAAAAGGGAAAAAAAAAAAAAAAAAAAAAAAAAAAAAAAAATGAAACCTTACATGCAGAGTCCAGTTTATACAGTCTTGCCTACTCTCCACCCCATTTATGATGGCAAACAATATATGTGAAAATGTTTATTGATCTTAAATTGTGCACCCAGTTCCTACACATTACTTGGGGGTGGGGGTGGGGGGGAATTCACCCCTTTGCCAAAATAGCTTGTGTTTGTCTTGCCTGGTTTTCCACACATCTAGAGCACTGTTCCCCAACTGAGAAAAAGCTGGTGCTATATAGTGCTCTCAGTGTCAGACCCACTAACTATTGACTACTACAATAAGTCCTCCAGTATCGTTCGTATGCAAATTTTTGTCAGTGCCACCTACTATAAATGGAATGTCTCTTCTCTCTCAAAATGGAGAGTTGTGGAGGAGGACATATTTCCAGATGCTTACTACACCACACACAACTATGGGTCTCTTATCAGATGGACCCGATTCTGTTACAACCCTTATGAAATTTTGGGAAATTTAAAAGATCCCACCCACTTACCATTTAGTCAAGCACCAAGACTATGTTCAAAACCTTGCAACTGATTTGATTAAACACCAGATAAACTACTTATAGATCATTTAATTTTTTGGGAGGCTCGTAATTGAAACACAGAATAAATGTATTGTGTCTTTCAGTGGCAAGATAAAAATCCTGTTAGTGCAGTGTTTGTTTGGTTTTAACATTTCTCCCAGCTAACACTTAGCAGGAATTTAGTTAAAACATACATAGATAAACATGCAGAATTTCTAATAGAGTTTGAATGTACTTACTATAAACTTATTCCCCAATATGGTAGTAGTCAAACGGGAGACTAGTATTGATTGTTTTATTACAGTTTATCAATCGTTTGCAAGTTACTTAAAAGATGGAAAACATTTTTTAGTAAGAATTTTTGAGAGATAAGTCCTACTAATTAATCCATAGCTGAGGGTAGAAGAGATGGATTCATCCCCAAGAATATTTGCATGTAAGTGAATATAATGAACCCTACTGGAATTGGAACTCAGCTATACAATTTCCAATTCCAAGCAGTTATCCATTACACCATCCAAGCTTACAACACCAGTGTCCCATGATTGTAAGACAATCTGGTGTTTGAACAGGATATGACCATAAGCCACAGTGTTTAAGATTTGTTTCTTTCATGACATGTCAACTCACTATGGGTCATTTAATGCTGAACTTATTTTCCCATAGCTGGGACATCCCAGGTCAGGATGAACCTGGTAACAACAATTAAAGATGTGGTTCCAGGCTCAGAAAAACCTCCAATCTTCTGATCAGAGACCTTACTGACAGATGTAGTTTATAGTCATACCCAGGATGGCAGTGTTTAGGAGCAACTGATATGATTACTATATATAAAAAATAAAAGCCCCCTACCCCTCGATATGCCTATTCTAAATTCCATCGTAACCAAAATTATCAGGATACTTTATTAAGTAAAGATATCCCCCAAGTTTAAATAGTAAATGTATTGCAGATTTCTTTATATGGTAATATTAAATCTGATTTAATAATCAACTTCCTAATTATTTTAAGATAAAAAAGAATAAAAAAAATGCTCACTTGAGTCTTTGAACTATCTACTGCTGCTGCCTTCATCATGGATAGAAGTTTGTTAAATGCAGACATGTCCCCACTACAATCGGGTACCTCCATGACAGGACTGACAGACACTATACCGTTATTGCTTGGTGGTTGGTGCATGTCAGCCTCAATTTCAGCCAAAGTCTTCACTTGTCCAGGCATATCTATAAAAAGACGAGAATTGAAACAAAAAGCTAAATAAAAACTGGGAGATATACTAGTAAATGGTAGTGAAATTCATTTAATTTTTGTACAGATTACATTTTTTTTTTTGCAGGGAATCCTGCAAGCTTCTGTAGAATGTTGTTTAAAGATCTACTTGAAAGTGAACCATATTTACAATATTAAATGCATACAAATTGTTGAAATAAAAAAAAAAAAAAAAATAAAAAAAAAGGAACCAGCCAAATGTTAATCTCTAAATACAGATTCACTACAGATAAAGTAAATGTTATTGCATAATTACAATCCTGAGTAAAATTTGAATCATTCCCACCGAACAAAAATAATGGGTATGCGACTGCAAGAGTTTGTGTGTATATACAAAAAAAAAAAAAAATAAAATAAAATAAAATAAATAAAATAAAAAAAAATAAAATAAAAAATATATATACTTACTGTAAGGTGGCATATTTGGAGTTGGAGAAGCACTAACACTTTCATTTCTTTCTTTACCAAACAGTAATGCTTTTAGCTGAGCAGATGCATCCTGGGCACTTACACCCGGACCACTAGGACTACAACTGCGACCTGAAAAAATTTAATCCTAATCATCAAGACAGGATGACAAACATTAGTAACAAATGTTTGCAAAATTTTTACCACAAAGTTGTCATATCCCTGGTCAAATATTTTGGAGAGATTCAGTTTTAGAATTTTTGAAAGCACTGTGCATTCTACAAGAATAGTTAATATTTCAGTCTAAGCCAATTTCATTATCCTACTAATTTGAATTCAAACTACAAAACCCAGGCACTACATTTTAATACTTCATTGAAACAATCTAAGTTATTACCTTCAGAATGACACCATTAAAAAAAAAAAAAAAAAAAAAAAAAAAAAAAAAAAAAATCTACTCCAACTATTCCGAATCACAAGGCTTTCGAAAGATTTAATAACCAAATAACATTAAAATGGAAAAATTAGAAATTAAAAAAAAAAAGAAAAGAAAAAGTTAATGGCACATTTTAGTAATGATGAAAAAACTTTAAAACAATTAAGAGTTAGTCATTTAAGAAAAGATTGAAAAATTTCATGCATCAGGACTATTTAACCTTTATCACTCTGTATACGACATTTGCTGCACAATAAATTTATCCTGCCACTGCAAGTGACTGATTCCTGAACAATAGTGTGTGAATTTTATAATTGTGTTGTCATATCCCACTATGGCAACAGAAAACAACTGAGTAAAATTAATAAGGATACTTTAATTGAAAAAGAATGCAGTGGAAAGCGAATATTAATGATTATGCAGAGTGATAAAGGTTAAGAGACAATATTCTAATGCATCTAATTTTCAAGGAGTTGTAGGAAAAATAAAAATTTCAGTTTTCTTCTTGCACAAAAACTCAAAGTAACTAAATATAAGTATACATAAAAAAAAAAAAAAAAAAAAAAAAAAAAAAAAGAGAAAAAGAAGATTAAGGTTTTGTTATTGACTAAAAGAGTACTAATTTTTGGTTGGAATTCAGTTGACAGCTTTCAAGTTTGAAACCCAACTGCAAATATTTAGAGGGAAAGAAATGAAATAAAGAGCTTCAATAAGATTCAAATCTTTATGAAAGAGACTAGAATTCCATTTAAGGAGGAGATCAGCTGCTGCTTTTAACTACAGAAAAAGGTCATGGCCAATTATGAGAAATTGGACAATGTAAACAAGTGTCTGGAGAAGAACCAGTTTATTGCAGATTTCATGTTGCAATGTAAAGCATGCTGACTAAAATGAAGATTACCTGACAATCAGGGTCATCAGACTGCTTACCTGCATCTGGTTTTTCCATCATGGCACTGTTTAAACTGAAAAGGGAGTTCAGCACAGAGTTCTTGGGCTGATGCTGATTATATGAGTCCAACAGGCTCATCTTGCACTGAAGAATGTTAGTCGAATGTGTCGAGGCAACAGTTGTGGGGGAGGGGAGGGCAGGGGGTTGACAGTCCTTTTTGTGTTGTGGTGAAGGAGGAGAGCTTCTATCCAATGGATGAGTGCTCACAGAAAACAAAGATGGGTTCTTGTCCTCATGTTGTTGATGTAATTGTTGATGTAACTGTGGTGGAGCCTGTTGCAATGGCTGTGGTGGATGTGACTGTTGGGATAGTGCAGCTGATGTATGGGACTGACGGAGAAGAGATGAATGCTGTTGGAGATGAGGGTCCTGCGAGGGTGGAGGTAAACTTAATGTCCCCAGCACTGTAGGGGAGGTGGAGGAAGAAGAAATTGTGGTTGGACTTTGGGTTTCTATCAGATCTGAGTAAAGGAAAAAAAAAAAATAAAAAAGTTAAAGCTTTCCATGTTGAAAAGTATTAAGATCTAAGATATTTTACTTTTATAGTTTTCCAACAGCAAAAGGTCATTTCCTCAAAATGTATTAAAGAAATTGGTTTATCCACAGTATCCAAACCTATACCTGAATTTTTGTACATTTCTAAAATATCTAAGCACTCAGAATAGAGTTTAATACAACTATTAAATAAATACTATTACAGAATTCCTTTATTTTTCCATTTTGTGATTCTAAGTTTTAAAGCATTACATTTTTAGATATAGGGCTAGAAATCTGGTTGAGAAATTTTGAAGATTCATTTTGAAAAATCTTTCAATAAAAAAAAAAAAAAAAAAAAAAAATTTAGCACAGGAAATATCTAAGAAACAGCTTTAAAAAAGTAAAATAAAAATAAACTTGATTTACAACAAATTAAAAAACAAAACAAAAAAACTTTGCCACTTATTCCCTCAGAGAAGCAAGATTCCAATTTAGATTGCTCTGTATACACTGAAAGCAGATAATGTTGCTTACAAAAGCCTCAGTTTTATATCAAAGCTTAGAACTTCGGTCAATTTATAGTCAAATCTTAGCATTTTTTTTTAACAAGATTGCAAATTGCAAACTTTATTCACAATATCCCTCTAAATATCCAAAAGCAGCACAATTTATTTCTGAATTATCAAGTTTTCAGCCATTGTTTTCAAGTTTAAATTGACTTGATTAACAGTTAAATATCTGTTTAATCAAGTTATTGTTTCAAGATTGTGACACAAATTAACCAATTTCATTAAGTATTGTTAGAAACAAAAATAAAAATGAAAAAAAATTTCAAAGTTTAGTTTTTCTCTTCATGCTATTAGTATTAAATGCTTAAAAGACAAAAATTTTAAAAAAGGGAAAAAAATTTAAAGTATAAATAAGAAAAAAAGATTTTATAAAAAGACAATTTTGGCAATTTCAAAGAATACAGTTTCTTACTAAAGTCATTCCATAAATTGGGGAACTTTGTGTATGAAATTAAATGAAGCAAATTTAACAAAAGAAAACAAAACGGGAAACAATTCATGTAACGAGGGTGCTAAGAGTTGGATTCATGTAACGAGGGTGCTAAGAGTTGGATTCATGTAACGAGGGTGCTAAGAGTTGGATTCATGTAACGAGGGTGCTAAGAGTTGGATTCATGTAAGGGTGCTAAGAGTTGGATTCATTCAGGGTGTTGGATTCAGAGGTGCTAAGAGTTGGATTCATTCAGGGTGCTAAGAGTTGGATTCATGTAACGAGGGTGCTAAGAGTTGGATTCATGTAACGAGGGTGCAGTTGGATTCATATGAGGGTGCTAAGAGTTGGATTCATGTAACGAGGGTGCTAAGAGTTGGATTCATGTAACGAGGGTGCTAAGAGTTGGATTCATGTAACGAGGGTGCTAAGAGTTGGATTCATGTAACGAGGGTGCTAAGAGTTGGATTCATGTAACGAGGGTGCTAAGAGTTGGATTCATGTAACGAGGGTGCTAAGAGTTGGATTCATGTAACGAGGGGTGCTAAGAGTTGGATTCATGTAACGAGGGTGCTAAGAGTTGGATTCATGTAACGAGGGTGCTAAGAGTTGGATTCATGTAACGAGGGTGCTAAGAGTTGATTCATGTAACTAAAGCTAAGTTGGATTCATGTAACGAGGGTGCTAAGAGTTGGATTCATGTAACGAGGGTGCTAAGAGTTGGATTCATAACGAGGGTGCTAAGAATTCAGCGTAACGAGGGTGCTAAGAGTTGGATTCATGTAACGAGGGTGCTAAGAGTTGATTCATGTAACGAGGGTGCTAAGAGTTGGATTCATGTAACGAGGGTGCTAAGAGTTGGATTCATTCAGGTGCTAAGAGTTGGATTCATGTGAGGGTGCTAAGAGTTGGATTCATGTAAGAATTGAGGGTGCTAAGAGTTGGATTCATGTAAAGGGTGCTAAGAGGGTGCTAAGAGTTGGATTCATGTAACGAGGGTGCTAAGAGTTGGATTCATGTAACGAGCTAAGAGCTAATGAGGGTTGAGTTGGATTCATTCATGATTCAATGAGGGTGCTAAGAGTTGGATTCATGTAACTTGGGTGCTAAGAGTTGGATTCATGTAACGAGGGTGCTAAGAGTTGGATTCATGTGAGGGTGCTAAGAGTTGGATTCATGTAACGAGGGTGCTAAGAGTTGGATTCATGTAAACGAGGGTGCTAAGAGTTGGATTCATGTAACGAGGGTGCTAAGAGTTGGATTCATGTAACGAGGTGCTAAGAGTTGGATTCATGTAACGAGGGTGCTAAGAGTTGGATTCATGTAACGAGGGTGCTAAGAGTTGGATTCATGTAACGAGGGTGCTAAGAGTTGGATTCATGTAACGAGGGTGCTAAGAGTTGGATTCATGTAACGAGGGTGCTAAGAGTTGGATTCATGTAACGAGGGTGCTAAGAGTTGGATTCATGTGTGAGGGTGCTAGAGTTGGATTCATGTAGGTGCTGAGGGTGCTAAGAGTTGGATTCATGTAACGAGGGTGCTAAGAGTTGGATTCATGTAAGAGGGTGCTAAGAGTTGGATTCATGTAACGAGGGTGCTAGAGTTGGATTCATGTAACGAGGGTGCTAGAGTTGGATTCATGTGAGGGTGCTAAGAGTTGGATTCATGTAACGAGGGTGCTAAGAGTTGGATTCATGTGAGGGTGCTAAGAGTTGGATTCATGTAACGAGGGTGCTAAGAGTTGGATTCATGTAACGAGGGTGCTAAGAGTTGGATTCATGTAACAAGAGGGTGCTAAGAGTTGGATTCATGTAACGAGGGCTAAGAGTTGGATTCATGTAACGAGGGTGCTAAGAGTTGGATTCATGTTCTAGGTGCTAAAAAAAAAAGCATTATTAAAAAAAATTTAATCTTGTCAAATTCTGGAAAGCGGAAAAGGCCAAAAAATCTTTTCAGTAACCCAACCCCTCATAAAATATAGAATTACAACCACCCCAGTAACAAGATTTTTTTTTTTTTTTTATTTCAAAATGTACTTTGAAATGAGTTTGTGGCTAACATCAAATTTCAATACAGATATTTGTAGAGTTAGAAATACAAACTGTACATTAGTTGACATCTTTCTAGACAGTTGAGAAAAAAACATTTGAAATTTATGCTAACTTAATTTTTTTTAATCAAGATACTTTTTAATTTGGCAAAAAGAATAATTCAAAATCTATCACCTTTAATCTCCGACTTTAAAATAGTTTATTAAGATTTCAAATCTAAAATACCTACCAAGTATAGATTACTAAAACTAGTACACATACCTTGAAGGAAACCATTTTCATCAGTAAGAGAGGACCGTCTACTGTTGGTACGACTGCCTTGGTTCGATGCTCGACTGAACCAGCGACTGAACCTGCTACCTTGATTGGCTTCTGATTCCTCGCCACCACCATCAGGCTAGAGACAAATTTGTAAATGAAATATTTACAAAACTATGATGGCTTACAAATGAACTGAACTATTAAAAACATAAGGTTAACTCAAACATACATTTTTCCGATAAAATTAAAGCCAAATAAATTTAATCCGTTCCGTAGCAGAAATGTCCATATGCAATTGAACCATAAGAATCTAATGTGATAAACATTTGAGGCCCCCACCACCACAATTCTTTGAGATACAAAATTTAACTGAATTTATCAACTGTTAAGCTAATTTGCATAAATCCATGTTCATTCTACAGATTGAAAAGAAAAGGTTTTCTTCAAAGATTTAAGAATATAGAATGCAACTCCCAGCTATTGTTAAAAGAGCAGGGCAAACTGGGTTCTTTTGCATTGGTAGGAAAACAATTCTGGATTTAAAACTGAAAAGGAGATATCCACTCCACTACCTTTCCAAAAACTAGTTATGGCAACATAATTAACAGTGAATAAAGGAGACTGCAGCTACAAAAGAGATATAAACCAAGAGAGAAAAGGATGCTCACCATCAAACCAAGCATGGGGATGTGGATTTGAATAAATTGATCAAAATCAAACAGAGAGGATGTCTGTGGAGGAGTTCCATGGACATTGTCAGAGGGAGGAGAATCTTCAGGAGAGCTGGACTCATTTGTTTCCAGACTACCATTCCTTTCTGAAACACTGATGTTAGCTAGAACAAAAAACAAAAAAGGTTTCAGCAGAACTAATCCAGACTGATGTCTAAAGAATGAGAAATTTCAGAAAGCTTTCAAGAGAATGTAATATTCTTCAAACTTAAGGAGAAGAAAAAAAAAAAAAAAAAAAAAGCAACTTACATATATTTTCTTCATCAATATGTTCAAGGAATTCCTTTCGATTGACACCTCCAATCTGAAGTTCTTCTTCAATATCTTCCTCTTGCTGGTCCCCGACACCATCAAAACCTCGTAATTCAATGGTGTCAGCCTGGCTGTTTGGCCCGTCTGTGAACCACTCTGGAGTGGCATCCTCTTCTTGCCGACGAAAACTGCGACGTCTACCAGCTAAAATAAAATGACCTCTTTAAGCTTACAAGCATTGGCTGGAAGGCAGGTTGACAAAAGAGTATAAATACAAATACACACCAAAAATACTAATATTTTCAGCTTAAAGGAACAAAATTCATATTTTTTGTCTTTCAATTTGAAAGTTTTTTTTTGTTTTTTTTTGTTATAAGGATTTTAAATACTTTCAGGTATGCTGATAATGCCAATTATTTTCAATTCAAACCCTTGAATTATGTTCTTGCAAAGCATAATTTCTAAGATCGGAAAAACTTTGTAGCAAAACTGATGTATAGAAAAATCAGATGTTATTTAAGACACTCATTGCCTATGAATAAAAGACATGGAGTGGGGAATTACTTATAAAAAAAAAAAAAAAAAAAAAAAAAAAAAAAAAATCAAAACCACAATTTTCTCTCCCCACTGCAGACTAATTTTTAGAAGCCAGTATTTAAATTACAACTACATCAAAAAATTGCTAGTTTTAACCCATTATTAAAAAACTAAAGTTAAATACTCACAAGGATTCATCCTACGATGAGATAGGTCTCTCTGAAAAATAAAAAACAAACATTACAGAAAATTTAATATTGGTTTATAGTTACTACAAATGAGAATCTTTGCAATAAAATTTAGTAAATTACAAAATATTAGAAACATTTTAATTTATAGAAATCTTTAAAAGCTGCACCACCTCAAGTAGTAATTTCTTATAAACATTTACAAGAAAGAGAGAAAAAAAGCAACAGGCATTTAATCTTCATTTAAAGATTAAACTTTACTCAATTAAAAGTCAAACTTACCCTGTCGTGTACACTAGACCTGAAACCTTCTGCTCGACTGTCATTTCTTTCAAAGCGTTCCTCACGGTTATCATATCTGGAGTTGTGATCTTTTTCTAATTGAATACGACCACTGCCAATTCTACGAGTTCGTTCTCTGCTTAAAAAAAAAAAATTTTTTACAAATTTTAATGTAAATAAAAAAAAAAAAATCTAAATTAGAAGTGTACAATTTCATTTCAAATATAGCAGAGAATTTTAAGTTTTTTTTTTTTTTTTAAGTTATTGCAGAATTTTTAGTGCAATGCTTAAGCTCCACTTAAAACTGTAGAAATCTTACAATAATGTCAAAAAAAATGGACTTGATAACACCAGAATTGAAGTTAATATCTACAATTGAGGATATCTAAAGCAGTGATTCTCAACTACTGTGCCACACAATATCACAGAATACATATATGCACAGTAATGGTACAGCATTAGTATCTGAATAAATGAATAAGTATTAAACAACTTCTTCAAATAGTTCATTTCACTATTCCTCAATGTCATTTTAAATATTGTTTTAATATTAATGGTTAATTCTTATGTTACCCAACCTGAAAAGATGACAAAAACATCAACTATTATTTTCAGTCATTTGAGCACAAAACTACAATTGGATTCAAAATCCCTTCATAAATGTTCCTTCTAATATTGGGCTTCAGTTATGTTAAGAACTGGGCACTTTTTCTAGTTTTCAGGGCTCAAAATAAAACATTTGACGGTACCCATTCATACATTTGCGAGTTCAATAGAAAAGGAATTAGCTAAAAAGGCTTTTAGTTTTATTGCAATTTTCTACTTATGTGAATTAGGCTTTTCAACCCTAAATAACAAAAATCAGCAGCAAGAAAGACTATAGTCAGCTGAAGAAATGAAGCTCTGCTTATCACACATTTGGCCAAACATTGAAGGAATCACACACAAAAAAAAAAAAAAAAAAAAAAAAAAAAAAAAAAAAAAAACACCAGGCACAGCTTTCACACTAAAACTGCACAAATAGCCAAATAGAAATATTGAAATAAAGTTCACATTTGCGTGTGTATTTAAAAAAGGTTTTATTTCATAACATTTTAATGTATACCCTTTAAAAAATGTTGCTGTGATTTTCATTTGCTTCTGGCTATGCCGTTGCTTAAAAAGGCTGAGAAACACCGATCTAAAGAAACAGTTTCAGACTATATTGAGAGTGAAGAGCTTTACAAGAAATGTTTGTTTATCAGAATATCAACTCCTTCATGGGTCATTTAATGCCAAAATTTAATTTTCTTGGGAGCATTAGTAATTTCTTTTACAAAAAACCTATTTTTGCTGGTAATTTTTTTTTTTTTTTTTTTAGCTAGCAAAATTTATTACTGCTTTACTATAAAATGTTTATATATTTTCATAGTGTTTTGCCCCCAGTTTGGGGATTAACTATTGGCCCATAAGCTGAAACCCTAACAGCTATCACCCTGGGAACAGTGGTTCCACACTCTTCAAAACCTCCAAATTAGAGAACTTGCTAACAGATTTAAGTTTATAGTCATAATCAGGATGGTACAAGAAATAAGGTGTAAAAAAATATTCTATTTTTTTGTTTTAGCAATGTAAAAATAATGGAATATTCAAGTGGTAGTTCAAGGCAGCTTGTGATTACAGCATATTTAATCCTCTATATAAACCACTTGAGCAAAGTTTTTGCCATGGCAAATGGATTATGAAACATTTGAGGGTTTTGCAAAAATAAAGTCAAAATATACACAGAAAGTGACTTAAAATACAGTGCACGGTGGTTAAATTGTTACCATTTTATATTTTTAATTTTGGGCATGCACATTTGTTTTTGTCAACTGTACAGTATAGTAGGGTCAGTTGGGCACTGTGAGAAAAAAAAGGTACCATGACACAATTCACTCTGCCAGAAATTTGGAAACTGCATTTATACCAAAAATTCCAAAATGAACATTTCATAGTGTTTAAGTGTCAATCTGAGGACAATGCAGAAAATTTGGAAAGAGTTGAATGATATATCTGGTCAACAACATGGTGTTTGGAGTGATGGCAATGTTATCCCTCCATTCATCTTTCCACAGAGCCTCAGACTCAACATGGAGGCCTACATCAAGTGCGTCGAGGAGGTAGTGCTGCCCCGAGTCAAGATGGTGGCTGTTGGAAGACCCTATGTCTGGCAACAGGACTTTGCACCATATCACACAAGTGGCGAAAACTCAGTCATGGCTGTCAGACAATTTCTGCAACCACATCATCCTTACATCTGGCCACCCAACACCACAGGCTGTAACTCCCTTATGTGTGGGTCACAACTGCACAAGAAACCAAAACTTCTGGTAACACCAAAGATGAACTGAAGGCAAGGTTTATGACTGCATTTCCCTTAAACAAGGATAGCATCCGGAAGAGTTGCAGATTCCAAAGCTGTCGAGGCCACAGTTGAAACCAATGATGATTTTATTGAATAAATTTACTATTTCAAGATATTTTTTATGTAATTTTGGTAAATGTATCTGTTAAAATGAGATGTTAGTGTTATTTTCAATTTTTTGCATAATGTAAACGACAATTTATCCATCGCGACCTGTATTTTCTTGCAAAATGATTTAGAGAAAACAAAAAAAAAAAAAACAGACTGAATGGAAATGGAATAATTCACACTATTTAAATTGTTTGTACTCTTGTCCTCATTTTTATTGCTGTATTCATGTTTTGGACATTGTAAACTGGCTTTTTTCAATGGCCAAAACGTTATGAATATGATAAAGCTGGAGACAACAGTCTAAAGAATGTAAATAGTTACAATACCTCATCTCGGAAATATAGACGGAAATGGAATAAGTCGACATACCTTTGCCCTCCCGAATCCTTGAAGTCTGGTGGACAACTGATCTGTCTCCCTATGCCCGAAAGTGTTACATGGCAGCCAGTTCCAAAGCTTCTCCGTTGAGGGCTTAGCACAATACAATCTCTTTCTTCCCTCAAACGTTCTTTAGGATCTGAAGTAGAGATAAGGTCTATTAGGAGAGATAAGCGTGCTCAAATAACACAATAGTAAAGGAATTCAAAAACTAAGATGTCTTCATTAAATTATACATTTTTTCTTAATATCAACAACAACTTATAATTTTATATTAAAATTATTCATTTGATACAAGTGTTAAATTTTTATACTAACAGTTATGACTTAGTGAAAACTAGTAAAAATTAAGTTTATTTTCTTATTCACTTTTACAAGATAAAGAATATGATTAAATTCAAGTTGAATTTTTAAAGTAATAAGGGGAGGGGCTAAACTGCTTAAAACTAAATATTATCAGATTACGAAGTGGCAGTGTGCTTTTATCGAGAAAAAAAAACCCCATCCAAATGCCTTAATACAAATTCAGTGAATAGCTATCAGAACTTACCAATATACAATGAAGCCTACATGAAAACATGCATTGCCATTTTGAAAGGAACTGATCACGAGTTTTTACAAATTATCTGCTTGTAAGAGGAAAATACTCAAGATCAATAAAATTAAACAAGAAAAAAAAAAAAAAAAAAAAAAGGTGGATAAGGTAAAAGTAGATGAATGAGTTAGCAAATGACAACCAATTAGTCAGGGTGAGTGGCATAATGCAACACAGTTTAATCAAGCCAAACAAAATATGACAATTAAAAAGGCATTTCAGTTTAATTGAATGGAGCTTTGGCCAGGGTAAACAGGTTATGTAGATCAAGACAAAAACTTTAACAAGTTTCAATATTTCCATCATATGCTTGTGTTTCACAGATGCATTTATTAGCTCTCCCACTATTTTCGTTAATCTGGTTATTTTAAATCTTCCATTTTCAAAACAATTAACTTTTGATAATTTTAAAGTGCTGTAAAGTTTATCATATCAGGTTTGTTAATGAGAGCTTGGTTAAAATTAAGCCATAAAGCACATCATCTATCTTTTGTAGCAAAAAAAAAAAAAAAAAAAAAAAAAAAAAAGCTAGAATTATATCTAGGTTTAAATTTACCAAATAAAGTTTTTAAAAAGAAATTAAAATATTTCTAGTTTATTTAATATTGCATTAAAACAAATACCTATAAAAAGGGTGAACCTAATTGAAATATATTTAACACTGTAGATATATAACCTAATATATCTAATTACAAATATTTTTCTTTAAATACACGGGACAAGTGAAGTTACTTCCCTTACAACAGAAAACTACTCAGAAAATGCAGTGACTAAAAAATACAAAAAAAAACATTTAAGCAAATTTAAAGTAGTGTAAGTATAGCATATAGTAAGGTGGAGGGGAGATTGTCAGATAAATTCTCTCATTTGCCAAAGAGGCTCAAGACACCTTTCTACATTCAGTCGAACCACTGAACAACAGAGCTCCTAGTGTGTGTGTGTGTGTGTGTGTGTGTGTGTGTGGAGCAGACACCATAATGTAGAACACAGGCTCTCACTCAGCCCTACAGAATTCCTCCCCACCAGCTCCAGTGATGTCTGGCCCTGTTTGAATCGTCTGTTGGTCATCACTTTAGAGCCAACCTTCAGAAATGGGATATGCCACTGATGATGATCCCAACTGTCAATTAAAAACTATGGTGTATCTTCTAACTTGCCCCAACCTTGAAGAATCAAACACAATGACATTGAAACCTTAACAACCCCAGGCAATGCTCTGTGGGCAACATTGGATGGGCATAATTAAGCAACTCAAGAAAATTTAAAAAATAGGATTCTTAACTAAAGCCTTGAATACATGCCAAGTGTCTCAAAGCAAACATCCCAACAAAAGGCGTCTGTCATTTTGGAATATAGACAATCAGGACTCTCCAGTTTCCTTTTAATACCTAAACTGTGCATTGATATAATTGTTCTTGGGAAAGGTAATGAATTGTTTCCTGCTGTGATTCCCAGTTCCGATTTCAAACTGGCCAAGACTGTTGCCCTACCAAAGCTATAGAACCCAGTCTGCTTTATTACTTTACCAATAGCTTGCAGAAAGAGATCTAGACTTTTCTAAGAGTAATAGTACAAAGCGAAAAACAGCCAGAATTTGTCAATTGTTTTCTGTGCAAGACCCTTACATCAATTTAAAGAAAAAAGTTAGTTAAAATCTAATTCTAACATACAGACTATTTACTCACTGTTAAACTAGTCTGAATTTCCATTTGTTTATAGGTACATATTCAGTTCCCTACAATAAACTAAATTAACTGAACAAGTTTGGGAATCCTTTAAAAAGGAAGCTTTTTTTCTAGAGTTATTTTTGTTAAAAAGGCCTGCTTCTACTTTAGAGAATAAGTAAATTTAAGTACAGAATTAAAAGCTAAAAATTAGTACTGAAAATTAGGATTATAAATTTAAATACACAGTCAATATTTATTAGTATCCAATTCATCACTGTCAATCCTAAAACATACCGGAAAGTCGACGCCTGAACAGAGATTCTCTGTCAAGGTCAGTAGGGCGCCGGCGTTCCCGTCCATCACCGACTGTCAATGGTGAGCCTTCTCGGGAAGCACTGAAAGCCTTGAACCACTTTTCAGGATCCCAAATACCATCAGGTCTGGAAAAAATAAATAAATAAAAGTAAATAAAATAAAATTTTAATTCCTTTATAGTTTTTCCAAGCAATCAATCCTAGCAAAAGAATTCCATTTATACTATTTACCTTGTTCAGACTGTTGCCCTCATCTTAGTTGCCATATTCACAACATTTACAAAATGTTGTGAATATAACAAAGATGAGGACAACAGTCAAAACAATGTAAATAGCATAAGTAGTTCCAATACCACCATAACAGAAATATAGACAGAGATTAAAGAATTTCATTTATTACAAAAATTCTTTTTTTTTTTTAAATTGGTATCACCCCAAGCAAGGCAGTAAAGCTACTAAGACAAGGGGTTACAGAAAAAGAAACATTAATGAGTAGGAAGAAAAAGGGAAAAAAAAAAAAAAAAAAAAAAACGTAATCAGGAGGACAGTAGACATTGCATTTAAATTTTTGCAGATTAAAGTTAGCTGGAAAGCATGGAGCTGGAAGGGAGTTCCACATGCTAGAAAAGAAACTTAACATAGTAGTTGCCGATACATCTAGCCAGCTCAAATGTGGATTGATGAGATCTTGACATCAATCTAGTACTTTGCTTAAATTAAAAAAGTTAGGTACTATAGTGAAGAGCTGAATAATCACCATGAAAGAATTTATAAAAGAGATGCAAACAGACAACTAAACTATGATGAGAAAGTGAGCAAAACCAAGCTGCCAGATCAGGACCAATAATATTGCTTGATTCTTTAGCTCAAGGTAAATAGCAGGGACACTAGACCATATGTAATATCAGTATTCTAAGCATGGATGAATGGGAGACAGATAAAAGTTAAGATACCTGCAAAAAAAAAAAAAAAAAAAAAAAAAAAAATCAAACAGTTATTGTTTTGTCTGTTTTGTCTTTCTTTTAAAATCAAGTCATGGGAACTTGGGAAAAGCTGACATCAACCAACTTTACTTGGAGCAAAAAGAGCAGGGTGTTCCTTTTAGAGGGACCTTAGAATTTTTGGATCAACCTAATTAGTCATTTCAGAAAAAGTAAACAGGTCTTTTAATCACATAAAAAGATCCACTTTTTTTGTCTCAGATTCTTACAAGTGTCACATCCTTTGCTTAAGCTTACCTAAAATTATAACCTCATGAATAAGATCTTTAGAAAAGCAAAGAATCAAAGGATTTAGAACTTCCAGTGAAGAGAGACATTTTAAAGATCAGATCAAAGTATCAAGCTATGATATATTTCTGCACATTGACAAAAATCAGGCTTTTTTAAAGTAATAGCAATGCTCAAAAGGTATTGCAGCAAACAAGACAGTAGTAAAAAGTTTAGGCATCAAACGATATCAACCAAGAAAACATCCAAATTTGACACAAAACAGTTCCTAAACTTAACCTACACAATCCCTAAAATGCATGCAACATTCAAATAGCCAAGTTACAAAGATCAACTTACGTATAAAATTCTTTCGAAAGTCCACATGGTTTGCTTCTGGCAGCTGGTACTTTCTTCAACTCCAGGAGCCTCTCCTAGAAAAAAAAAAAAAAAACTTCATGAATAAATAATTAAGATCCTTGCCAATAAATTATATTTGGAAATTTCTATTTCACTCATACCAAGTTTAGTAACTGCATTTTAAGAAATGGCTGATGGAGGAAAGGCTCAACAAATGACAAATTAATTGTTTCAGGTGAAAATCTATTGTTATTTCAGCAGATAAGAGTTGGACTGCAAGAGAAACAGAGTAGCCAAATATTTAAGAGAAAAGAAGAAAGAAAGAAAGGAAAAAAAAAAAAAAAAAAAAAAAAAAAGAAACATTTAAGCAGGTTTGGCATCTTAAGAATAGCTACCTTCAAAGTTAGATGGTTTATAGGCTTTTTGTTTTCATCCAGTATTTTCATTACTTCAAACATTTTTAGTGGATACCCTTGAGTAAATATTCTTTTTGTTTTATTTTAAAACAGTATTTAGTCTACCAGCCTTGTACACTAAACAAAAAACTCAAGAGCACATTTTCCTTAAGTTTTCCCAAGTGTGCAGACCAGTAGATGAAACACTTTAAAACAAACACACAGCATCTACTCAAATAATTTGTTTTGTTTAATGCGAGTCATCTGCCAAAGCAAATAGGGTTGAGATTTTATATTTGTGTATTATTATTATTTCACAATGAAATAAAGTATTATTATTTTTAACAGTCATGTCAATAGCAGCATTTAGATTTCATATTTATAAACTGTATTTATGTTAAAAGGTCTTTCAGATTTTGGCAAATAAGTGCATTTCTTTTACAAATTTAAAAATATTATCCAGATTTAATCTGGCAAAGAATTCTTTCAGGTTATTTGTTTGGTAATATTTGACTTTGGCTAATTTCAGGTTCTTGCATGTTGTCAGTTTATGATTTACTGTGTACTCTTCTTGGCATGTCATGCACACAGGGGCTTCATCTCACTTTAGTAGGGTACGTGTACATGACAGATGTGTGCCATATATGGAGTATGGTCAGTATTACCTCTTTTCTGGAGGGTGTGTAGCTCTGCCACTTTCCTAGGGTTCGTTTTATGTAATTTATTATTTGAGCAATAGTGCCAAAGCTCTTGCCACCTTCTTTCCATATATTTATTGATTTGTTTGTTGCCTTAGCTCCAGTGCTTTCTTTGATGCTTTATTAGCTGTGTCATTTCCCTGGATGCCAATAGGACCCAGTACCCAACAGAATATGATGTTCTTGCTTTGTTGTTTTTTTTTTTTAGATGTCATTAATTGGGTTCAATAGTTTGATTGTTAGTGGGTTGGTCATTTTTTTTTTTTTTTTTTTAATGATACAAGTAGTGAGAGTGTCCAAAAGATAAATTTCTTGGAATTGTTTGTTATGATATACAGGTCCAAGTCAATGGCTGATATTTCAAGCACTGTATACAGAAGTGTTATACACACATCAGAAACAAAAATTTTACAAACTAGATTGAAAAAATAAAAAGCTTCAAGAAATACATAGTTGAAATATCTAGGAATTAAATGAAGACAAAAGGGATCTTTTACAAAAATTCAATGCATCAGTCATTCATCCCAATAGGTCTAACCATAATTTTGACAATGCCAATTTAAAAAAATAAAAAAAAATTGTTGGCAATGACTAAATTTCAGAATCTTCCAGTGTAAATTTACAACCAGGTTAATACATCTTCAAAAACTACTAGAGACAATGGGAGATAAAAAGAAAAATGAAAAGAAATCAATAACTTAAACATTGATACATAGCTGTCAGTTTCATTTAAAAGCTGAATGTCTGTACCTTTAATGTTATGAAAAAATTAACTAAGCATTTGTTGCATTCCCTCCTACATTGTATATTTCTGTGTACAAGACAATCTCTAAAATCACCCATAAAAATTGGGTGTTGTCTTATACTAAAAAAAAAAAAAAAAAAAAAAAAAAAAAAAAAAAAATTCTGAGAGATGATAACGTACATGAAAAGATTAACATTACCAAATAAACTGATAATAAAAGTAATAAAACTATTTCTACCTATATTACTGGCTTAACTTCATAGCAAATTGCCTATTCAAAAAAATAATTACATTTTAATGAAAACTTGTATCCATGCAAGCTCAGCTGAGAAAATGTAAACAGTTATGATTGCGAATAATAAATAAAAAAAATAATGTTGAAAGTAGAATGTACTACTATCATGCTATTATTAATGGTATTGTGATTGTCGAAGTAAATATCCTTTAGTACACCAGGCTGTTTGTAACTTTATATATAGGAAAAGAATCCATATTTGCAAGAGACCACATGATGAAACGTAAACAAAACAATGGTTTCCCCTTTTATGAGGCATGTATGTAGGAAAAACACGATAGAATCGGTTTCGTTATTTCGTTTACTTTGAATTTCTAAGTATACAGTAAGTAACACTTCCAATAACATCTTTATATAATCAATAAAGAGTCATATACTGACAGTATAGGATAAATTCATGAAAATTTGCTACCTTTTTATCTGAAGTCCAACAATATATTTTCTGTTTATACATTATTTTTACATACATTTTAAGTAAATGTTTTTAATTAAACAATATTAATTACATTTAATAGCCTGAATGTTGGAGAAATTTCATAGAAAATGTGCTTCTCCGACAAGAATCGAAACCTGTAATGGGAACCATCATTTGATTTGATGGTGCTGTTAACCAATCAGCCCCAAAGAAGCGTCTGGTTAGCAAAGAGATAGATGATGTAAGCAGATATGATCGACCAAGAATAATCATCAAAGGTGTGTATGTTTATAAACAGAAATTCAGACTCTGCTAACCAGGCACTCAAGAAGATTTAATTAGCAATGTCTAAGTGCAAACAAAGGAATTTGTATTCCTAAATACCCCCCCGTTTTGACCTGGAAAAAAAAAAAAAAAAAAAATTTATTACTTCCAAGTGACAAGAGTGAATATTCAACTTACCCTGCTGTATTGATGGTGCACCGGAGATGCAGCTTGAACGTTTTCATCCTGGATAGATTCAGCATTCCGGTGTTCCATCATACCCACTGCTGGGAGCTAGGGGGAAAAAAAGTGTACTGGTTTAATTAAAGTATAATACTATACAAGTATATACCAATATTACAAAAGGAGGGAGGCCCCAAGATCATTCCAGATTCATTATAAATAATGCAATGAGAAAGTCATTTTAAAATCTGGAAACAAGTGAAAAATTAAAGCATCATGACAATTTCAATGACAAACATTTAAAACAGATTAAGCTTAAAACAAAAGCAAAAAGCTTCAAGTAAAAAAGAAAAATTATATATTAAAGTAAGCAAAAGTTAAAAGTACAAGTTTTATTATATAAATACAAGTTTTAGTCAGTTAATCTTATGGTGTAAAAAGATCTTATTAGAAAGCTTATTCAAGAAATTTACCAAAACTATTTAGCATTTCAAAAAGGGAACCATTTTAAAAATGGACATTTTAACCTTATAGACTTAATGATAGAAAGTGTCAAGCTACTGATTAAATTTCATATGACCAAGAAGACTTTCAATTACCTACAACAGAAGTAAAATATTTTAACCTGCCATGGTTGGTGGTTGGGAGTGTTAAAAGCCTATCATTCCTAACTAATTGCTGCTTGGCTAAGCTTACTTTAACTACAAAACAGTCAAGGAGTTAAAAATCAAATGTAAGTTGTATTTAATATTTAAACTGATAATTGCAATCACATTAGATTTATGTGATGTCTAGATTGAAGAGTTCGAATAAATCATTTTCAGTTAATTATACTTATCTTTGACAATGAAAAGAAAATAAAAATGTATGATCAGATACTTTTGGAAGAAAAAAAAAAAAAATGTTACAAGTGTATATATTACTTTGGGATCAGATTCAATTCACTATAGTTTTGTACATTTAAAGGTAATATTTGAAAATTTGAAATATTTGAATTTGGTACATCCTGGACAGTTTGAAATTGCATCTAAAATTTATTATGGCCTAAGAAAAAAAAAAAAAAAAAAAAAAAAAAAAGGTCAATTTTGTTAAATGTTATGGCAATACTTTTCAAATTTAGAAAATTTAAAACAGGGTTAATTTACAATACATGAACCATAAAAAAACAAAAACTACCACATAAAATTTAGTAATTATATCACTAGCAATGATAAGTTTACAAATTTATTCATATCAACAGTAGTAGTCCTATACAAAGAATTCCAAATATTGAATAGTCAGTTTTCAAAACAATTCAAACAAATGACAGAGGCAATTACACACACACACATTTTTATATATTGTATCTTTTAAAGAATGGCAAAAAAAAAAAAAAAAAAAAAAAATTGTTATTTCAAGAATCTAGCCCTTCATATCATTGAGTATGAATAAGTTTTCAAATGTTATCAAAACAAAATTAGACATTTACCATGACAGCAGGTCCATAAATATAGTCATAGGAACTCAAGGACTTTTTTTTTATGAAATAGAAAATATTTATCAAGTATTTTATGTAACAATTTATATTTTAACTTTTGAAGCTGATTTTTTTTGTATAATAGCAGCCTAAAACAAAAATTTTAGGAGTTTAGAGAACAGTGATATTTTATATTTAAAATGGAAAGTGTTTATTTGCTGTGGCTTTGCTTTTGGTATGTAGTAGATTTGTCAAGATTTTCAAATATTTTAAAGCATTACACCCCCCTCACCTCTAGATTTTTTTTTTCATCATAAAAAGCTAGTTTTTAAACAATTTAGTTTTTAGTAAACAATTTAAAATCTAAACAGTTCGGCTTTACTAAACATTCCATCCATAGAAACTTACATTTTAGAATTTAAAAAGAAAATGTTGGCATTTTTAAAATTAGAATGAATATCATGAATCGTCATTAGATTTGTTTTTAGGAGATATTTCGTTGTTAAAATTTAAATTAATATTTTTAGTACACAAAAGGTAGGCATTCTACACCAAGAGGAATGTCTACCCTCCACAAAATACTTTTTTTCTATTTTTTATTTAATAATGTCCAAAAATAAACTTGAAGACTGTCTCCAATAGAAAAATTTAATAAATTGTTTGATATTTGGATTTCGTATTCAGCCACAATTAAGAATACTTTGTCCTTAAAAAAAAAAATAAAAAATTGTACAATGAGAATTTTAAAACCAAGATAAAAATTAAATTAAAACAAATGATTTTTCCTCACTAAAACAAAATAAATAAAAAATGGACAAAAGTTGTCATTAAAACATTTAATTCATCATCCAATACATGTTTTAACTAAGTCTCTTCAAAAGGCAAAGATCGATTTGTAAGTTTCTTTTAAGAGAAAAAAAAGACTAATCCAAAAGTTTAAAAAATTAACAGATATTAATTAGTTTCATAACGAAATGGAAAAATCGTTTGAGAGTTTTTAGTCGAAAAAGACATAAAAGCTCTTATGTACTTACGAGTAGAGTTAGAGACTCGTCGTTCAACTCGTACACGTACACGCTACGAGTTTATAGATTAGAAAGAAACAAATACCACCCCACCAAAAAAAATAGTATTTAAATTAAAAGGTAATTCAAAGCAAATAAAAATGAACAATTTTAATGTGAAAAAATTGCACCTACCTTTTTTGTAAACAATTTATATTTAACATGAAGGAACCCAACTGTTTTTGTTGAACATGTGTTTATATAAAAAACGACGCGGAATACGGCCAACGGAATAACACAAGAGAACGAAACGGAAACAGTTTGCTGGCAATTTATTTGTTCTTTAATGAATCCTATAAGAGATTTTAGTTATACTTTTTAGAAAAATTCTACAAATTTATAAAATAAAGAAATCCTCAATAATCCGTCGAAGAGATACGTGGTTTTGTTTAAATTGTAAGTACATATGTAAAAGTAAAAGTGCAAGATCTTCACAAAAAAAATGAACGTACAACAATTAAGAAGAGTCAATTCTTAAAAGCGAAGACAAATTTTAATTTAGATAACAGGGTAATGAGGTGGAAAGAAGGACTTAAAAATACAAAAATACTTTCTAAGTTCGTTTTTATGGGTATAATGAAATCAATTATTAGAGTTAAGGAAAAAAAAAAGTAAAGAACAATTCAAATGATACTAACTACTTTAAGTTCACTCCCAACAGAAGTATGGTTTTGTCACAAGAATAGGTTGAACTTGTTTAAACAAAGAAATCCGTTTTCGAACAAAACTCCTTTAATCTTAATTTATTGAAACAATCGAAAATTGTTCAACTTAAAGAAAAAAAAAAAAATCAAAGAAAATCTATAGAAAATAAAATTCTTTCGAAACTAAAAGTAAGAATGGGGAAAAAAAAATCTGACCAATATTCATTCATTCAAGTCTGACGAAAAAATTGAAAGCTTTGTAACAAAAATTGGTTGCAACCTTACTAGAATTATTATTTTCCAAAAAACTACATTTAAATTAAATTTGTCACTTTTGAGATGTCCTTAAACACCGTTGCCCTACGTGATCAAAGTTTTAAAAATTCATTAAATGCCTCAAGAAAAATGCAAACGTCGACCAAAATGGTCCATTTCCATTATTACAAGCAATTAAGGATCAAGTTCAATGAATCATTTTAAAGCTCCAAGACGTCATTCCAGTCTTCTGCTTGTATATTCTATATTATTTTGAATGCACACAGTTCAAGAAAAAGAAAAAGTCAACCTCTCTAATCTTCACTGTAAAAATTCAACAACTAACATTGATCTGTTAGAGAACATTGTAGCATTTAAGTGGATTAAAAGTTAAAATACATTATAGAAAAGATCTACCCAAATAAATGAAAGATAACATCGCTATTATCTGCAGTAATTATTTGGTGGTTAAATTAAATGTTAGATTTAATTTTTTTTTTAAATTTCACTTATATGCAGAGAAGTGATTATTAATTCAGTTACTCTTTGGGCAACTGTTTCAAATGAGAAAAGTTTCATTATCAAAATTTTATTGGAAGGACTAGTAATCATATCAGTGACAAAACAGCAAAATGTTTGTGACTTCAGTTTAAACTTTAAAAGCATTAACCAGTTTGTTAACAAGTGGTTGATGTTGCTCATTCCTGTAAATCAAATTTCTATAGATTGAAAGGAGAACAAAGAATTATCAAAATGCCGATATTTACAGAATAAAAGTAATCCAAGTAACAATTTAAGCAGTGATTAACCTTTCGTTACAAAAAGTGATTAAAAAAGAAAAAAAAAAAAAAAAATTTTAAAGAAATTAAATTATAAATTAATAATTCTCAGATTAATTCTCAAATGAAAAGCTTGCACTTTGTTTAAAATGATACAAAATCACCATTAAGAAAATAGAGAAAGTGGAAAATAAATCCCCCATAGAAACAGTTATTTCACAATACTTTAACAAAGCATAGTAAAATATTTACATTGGTAAAAAAAATAAAATACATACTGATTATTAAAATTTATGCAAAACATCTGACAATTTTTAAATTTCTTAAATTTTCAGCACGCCCTGCCTTTGTTTTTCAAAAAAAGTAATTCTGAAGGTAAAAGCCCAAACTGCCAACACCTACATTGGAATGAAAAAATTAAGGAAAAAAAAATTAAATATTCTATATTTCTAACAAGATTTACCAAGAGCAACAAATAGACAGGAAAAAAAAAAAACAACCCACAACATTTGGTCATTAAATAGCTTCTAAAAGTCTAATATTTTCCTCTCCTATGACAGACTTAAATTTAGCAGTAAAACAATTTAGAAATGAAGATTCAAAATTTACCATTTCAAAGACCAAACAGGATCTCCTGAACTTAGACATACAGCAGGGGGGAGAAAGGGAAACATAGAAAAGTTCTCTTGAAAAGGTTCAATTTAAAAAGGAGGCACAATTTATATATATATATATATATATATATATATAAACATTTTCTCTAGCCAATAGATTCTTCAGGAAACAATTCGAAACAGGGATAGAGAGAAACTTGAAGGAATCAGAAGTAGTCAGAAAAGAAAAAACTTGTCTGAATGATGGTAACTAAAAATTATAGACAATATGTAGATAAAAAAAGTCTATTGACTACAGCAAATGAGGAAGTGAACAGGCAAGGATTTAAGAATTTCCAAAATCTCTTGTTCTGACCAAACAAGTAGCTTCATAAAAGTGACAAAATTTTCTAACCAAAGAGTAGAGAGGAAAAAAAATAAAAATAAAAATAAAATATATTATATCATACCTTTAAAATAAACTTAGTTCCATTGACATTAGAACTTATAGTAACAAGATACAAATGAAATAATGAATGTCAACTGAGTTGAAAATCTGGGTTCAAAAAGCAATCACCTTGTTAAATATCAAACCTGAATGTAAAATTATCAAGCTTTTAAATTAATTTTAGATTAAAAGTAACCCAAAGTGGTAAAAAAAAAAAATAAAGATTACTCACATTCCCTACCAGTTATCAAATTAGACCAGCAAATCACTGTCCAGTCTATATTCAACCATATCAAATGTCAATCAAAAATCTGAAACTTATCAAATTATAGCCAAATTTAAATACAAGAGAAAAAATATCCAGGAAGAAACAAATTTTGAATAATACCATAAAATGGCACAGTATTTAATTTTTACTTAATTGAAATTCACCTTTCAATTGAGAAAAAGGTACATACTGCCATCTGGAAACTTTTTATAATTAGGTTTGCCTTTTACATTGATAAATACAGAAGTTAAACTTATTAAATCTAAATGTAATGCTTAAAAATAAATCCAAGAACAAAAATCAGATTTAAAATGTTTCAAATATAAAAAAAATGTATGCATGTCAATAACTTTAGAGAAAAATTTCCACTATAAATATACAGGGAAAGTATAAAGTATGGAAGGACAAAAGATCATTCAAGCCAACATTTATCAAGTAATAAAACTTTATTGGCTAGAGAAACGCAAAGATCTCAAAAAAGGTAGACAAGAATCAAGTTTAATCTATGATCTACTTTAAGAATTTAAACTTAGAATCCAAATCCTTATATTAACCACAAAGTTAGGAATGACTTAAAAAGCCTTTTTCCATTTAAGATTTACACACAACTTCTTAAGCCAGCATTAAATCCATTATCAAAATATTAAAGAGTAGTGGATTAGATATATTAAGGATTCAATAGCTTATAAAAATACATAGGTGATTTGAGGGGAGGTACGATTACGCCTAGAAGTATGAAATTGTGTATTACGCCCCACCCCCCTTCAATGACATCTGTTAATAATTTTGACTAACAAATACAAACTTAGTCTTATATACCAATAAGGCCAATTTACATTTTGTGGAATTAATCTTTTATGGTAGGATGTGACAAAAATAAAATGCACAAAGTTATTTCTGGTGCTACTAACTTTGAGACTTTTCGGAAAAAAATGTCCCTTAAAACAAAAATGGAAAGGGCCTATAAGGAGATTTTCAACTCAAAGTTGGATTCGGATAAGGGGAGAGAAGAAATGTAGAAGTGTTTTAGTGTCAAGGAATTTTTTAGCTCAAAGTGAAAACTGAGAAAGTTTAATCCAAAATATGAAGAATCCAATTTCAATATTGAAATTAAAATAGTCAATTTGAGGTTAGTTTGAAGCTGAAAAGTTTTAAAGTTAGAAAATTATGCTTTTAACTTAAAGCTGAAAAAAAATAAAAATAACTGGATTGGAAATAAAGTTATTTGATGCCAACTTGTGTCCATAGCATGAGACTAAAAGTGATAGATACCATTTTTAGAGAAATGTTTACTTTCAGAAAAAGTAAACATAGTAAAAACCTGAAAAGGGTTTTTTTTTTTTTTTTTTTTTTAGGAAAATCAAATGCTTCAACTCTTTCTTTGCCTACCTTGAAAGCAACACAATACACAAAGTGGGCAAAACAAATGTTTTGTTTTTTTTAAATAAAAGAAACTGCCCAAAACTAAAGTTTAGTTTTGACAGTCCCTTTTTAGTAACTAAACAGTTAAATAAAATGGTTAAATTTACAAATTCCTCTTCCTGCCTACAAACCTTCAAACCAAACCATTTTCTCCAGCAACCTTCCATTTTTCTAAATAAACAAATAAAAAAGCCAAAGTGATAAATATAGAAATGTTGGTTAACTTGACAAATTCAAAGATTGTATTTAAATAAATTTTAAAATTATCTGGAGATGTGGGTAGAGTTTCAAAAAAAGAAAAAAAAAAAATAAGACACTTGCAACAAAATTTCAATATTTTATTTTTCTATCTTTCAATAAAAACTTTCCTGAAGTTCAATTAATCAATTTTGAATAAAACTTAAGTGAAACTTTTTCTTGTAACAACAATACTCAACATTTCATTTCTCAAATACTTCCCAAAAAGTTATTAAATAAAAAAATGTTATGTTTTTATTATCAGGATAAAATTTAAAATATTTAAGTCTAAAGAAATTTCAATTTTAATTAAAAGATGAGGGCCTCAGATAAAATCTAAAATTGAAAGTTACGTTGGAGGTGGGGGGGGGATATAAAGCTTTAAAAATAAAGTTATTTAACATTAGGGTGATAATTGCTTCTTTACAAAAACTACTAAAAATAAACTAATAATCAAGCTTATGTTCAGGGCAGACTTGTTAAAAGGACAAGTTGTTGAAAGAAAAGAATAATTAAAATAACTGATTTTACAAGGTAAAAAAAAGAAGTTTCAACATACGAAATTGTCAATGTCTATTCGAGTTCAATTAAGTAAATTTAATTAATATTTCAAAATGAGTTGACTAATTAAAAATTGAACAAAAAGTAAGGTTCAGCAACATTTTCCGTTAAATACATTATTAACAAGTGACATAAGAATTTATTTGAACATGTAAATTATTTACATGTTTAAATAAATTCTTATGTCAATACTTTAGTTTTATTTTTAAGGTATCACACGAAGTTTAAATATTTTTAGTCAATGACGCAATGCAAGGGTTATTTTTAAAAAGAGACCCTTAAATAAATTCCCTTTGGGCAGGGATTTAAAATACTATCAGTAGTGATATGTAAAAAGATTTAATAAATAGATTTGATTAAAAAAAAAAAAAAAAACTATTAAAAAAAAGCTAAGAACTAGATAAGTTTCTAATATGAAATTAAAATTTATAACCAAAAATCGCGCTCACGGATAAACTTTTTTTTTTTTTTTTTTTAAATAGCGACAGACGACAAACTCGAGTTTATTTTTTTTTTAAATTAAATATAAATAAAATTATTTAATTTTCATGCTTTTAAATTAAAAATTATGGTCATAAGATTCAGAGTGTCTAAGATGTATTTTAAATTTAAAACTAGGGATTTAAAACAAAAACAAAACAGTTAAAATTTTTACTGTCAAGTTAAAATTATTAACAAAAAAAACAAAAAAAAAAAAACAATGTACATGTTTAAAAATTTAAATATTTAAAGAACAAGGGTGGTCACCTTGTGTTATTTTTCATACGTATGTAAGGGTATAATTGAATCTTTCAATCAAAACGACTTTTCGTCTAAAAATAAACTAAATTCAATCTTTAAAATTAAATGTTATATGTGTGTATATGGATGGAGAGAGAGAGAGAGAAAGAGATATCTGTAAAAAGAGTAGAAATCTATATTATAGACGTTAGAGATATACAAAATATATATTTAAATTAAAATTTAAGGGGATAATAGTTTCTTTCAAAACCATTACAAGTAAATAATCAAGCTTTTAAGTGTTTATAACTTGAACAGCAATAAACGTCCTAGAAAGGAACACTTTCTCCTTTTTTTTTCCTCTCTCCCCCAGCATGATGATTTAAATAGAAAGTAATGCTTGTTTAAATTGTCTCTAGATTATGGAATCAAATATTATACAAAGCAGAAGAGAAATAAAAAAAAAGAAGAAACTCACTTTTTTGTTGGGGGTCAACACAGTTTTTGGTGTGACTGTCACTCACTGTTGTTTCAGAAACAAGAAAAAAAAATGTGTTCACTTGTAAATACAATTATGGAGTAGAAGGCGTATTTTTTTTTTTTTTTTTGCTGTTTGTTTTTAAATAAGTGCAGGGTTTCTTTTAACAGCCAACAAAGAGTATTAAAAAAAAAAGAGGAAAAAAAATGGTTTTGTCCAGGCTGTTTGTAGTCTTTTATAATTATTAATATTGTTATTATTTAAATAGAAAGAACTTGTGCGGTCGGAGCCTTTTTTTTTTTTCTTCTTCCTTTCTTGCTATGCCGCTGTAACTATTGGTAAAGAGGCAAACATTTTAACGTACTTAATAATATTGGTAGCTTCTTCTTTGTCGTCTTATTAAAGTCTTGGTACAACTAGTATTTTAGTAATTTGTGTTCTTTTGTTTTGTTTTTTTAAGTTGTTGTTTTTTTTTTGTTTTTTTTTTAGTTTTTCTCTCCCTTTCTTTCTCGTTGCTTGGCTAGGGTCTAACACACAACACACACTCACACGGGGGGGGACACAACGAACGACCCGGATCTTACCATACGCATTCAGGGCTCTGACCTTTGTCATTTGAATAAAAATACTATTAAAATAAACATATTTTTCTCTCCCTGAAATTTAACTTGCTTAATTCCTAAATATTTGTTTAGCTCTCATATCTCAATAAGATTTATTTTTTACAAACGTAGTTGACGATTTTTCTTTGTTGTATGCGTCTATCACTAATCTGCATTTCAAACGCATGACCTTAATAATTTGCATAATGGCCATTAGCACTAATAGTTTCGTATAATGTTGAATACAAATAATTTCTTAATATCTATGAATTTACGATATTTTATTTTTTAATCTAATATTTAAAAACAAGTCTTAAATTTTTTTAAAGAATTTTAATTGCTTAGTTTCGGATCTGGTGACCTTTTTTATTTGCATACCTCCAACTCAAAGATTACATCCGTTCGCTGTTACGCCAAAATGTGAAATCTTATAAAATACGATTGATTAAATGTCTTAATTGTTTTATTTAAAAGTTAAATACATTAAACAACTATTACACTTTGGTGAATTATCGTATATTTTCTTGACGTATTTTATATTTTGGCTATGAAAAAAGTTTTCCACCAATTTTCAAATCGTACGGTTTTTTTTTTTTTTGGAAATCATTCATTAAAAATTTTCACCTGTATTTTTAATTACTAATTAATTAATCATTTTTCCTTACCTTAACTAAAAGCTATTTTTTAAATATTTAAGAACTTTTATCAGTTATTTAACACACGTAATTTTATCTAAGAATTCCTCTTTTTTATCAAACTTATTATTTTATGAGTTTATTTAATTGAATTTAATAATCGCAGTATGTATCAGTCAGTTATGTGTCATGCGTGATACACACGTAGGCGATCATGTATCTTTCGATACATGACTGACGAGGCAGATTTATTCCCGCAGTAGGTTGATATTTCTTTCTGCTGTAGACCAGTTGCCATCCAAAGCTATAGAACATGGTCTGTCCTGCTATTTACCCATAGCAGGGAGGGAGAAGAAGAGGATAAATATAGCATTGTATTAGTTTTAATGATATAACAATATATAATTTTGGATAATTTTATATATCAACAAAAGGTATTTAGGAAAATATGACAAACTGGAAAATTTCTTGTGACGCATTAGGAGTTCAACACACTCCAGTCCCATGAAATCCTAGTGGATGAAATGCATCACAAGAAATTTTCAAGTTTGTCATATTTTTCTAAATTAGTTTTAATACAATTATATTAGTTTTTAGAATGTTGAAAATATAAAATTATTCATGTAAATAAACCATCTAATAAATAGTGTTTAATATTTTTGTTATCAATTCTCATGAACAAAAACAATATACAATTTCACTTTCATCATATGTTTAGGTTTTATTACAATTGTAATCATCACTTTTTAAAACAAAAAAAATATTACCAAGGTTTGAAAGTAGTTAAAATAATAGCAGTGTCAAAGGAAAAACCTTCCTTTTCACACTGTTTCTTTGCAAGCACAAAGGTTAAAGATTACAGAAATCTGAATTTTCCCTAAAAAAATATTTGAATGACTGCTTTCAACATGGTTGGATTGGTTGGAGAATCCATTGTGAAGCATGTCGTAAGTTTGACTTCAGTGTCAAAAAGAAGTGGTGTAAGCATTAGCCAGAGGCAGTAGTTAAAATATGACAGTTAAAAAATATGGGATTTCTTACTTCAGACACTGATGGATGAAGACCTTATTGCTATAAATAAGGAAAATAGCAAGTTCCAAATAATTGCTGTTCCATATGAGACAAGAGTGGACTTTAAAAAAACTAAAAAGATTGAAAAAATACCACTTCTGAAATATTCTTGTTATTGAAAGAAATGAAAAATCTCTTGGTGCTAAATCTGATGAGTAGGAAGGATCCTAATGATCCATGGGCCATAAACTCAACCCAAAGTTCAACTAAAACATGTATATATGATCCATTACTAAAGATGCAGGAAAAATGGTTGGTTCCACATATACTGCTTCATTAAGTAACTGAATCCTTCTGCTATCCTCTGCCTTTACAAGAACCAGATCAGGTCTAAAATGGAGTACTGCTGCCATATTTGGGCAGGAGCTGCTCAGTCTTCACTTTTCAGTCTGGATAGAGTCTGAAAGCTTCTCTGTGCCCTTGTGGGTGACAAATTATTTTCCATCCTGCAAAATGTCACAAGCGTCTAACAGCTCTATTGCTACTTCCATAGAAAGTGCTCAGTCGAATTACATTCCTTAGTTCCATCAGTTCTAACCTTCACAGTTAGAACCCACCATACTAGATGCAAACCACCCTCATTCCCTTCATATTCCATCAGTGAGAAGTAAGATCCACTGAAGCAGATTCCCACAAATCACTGGTTTGTGGAACTGTCTCCCAAGAGGATGTTTTCCCAATCACTACAATCTTAACCTGTTCAAGTCTAGGGCTAATTGTTATCTTCCCCACATAGATGCATAAACTGTGCTTCTTACTCTGTAACCCTCTACTTTGAGTGATCCTTGGGCTTTGTACAGGGTGAATGTCACTGTAAAAAATGAAAAAAGAATCCTAATGATCTTATTCATTTGTAGCAGCAG